GGTAGCCCTCAGTGTAGAGTGATTGTGTGGGAATTCACTGGGGACCCCTAAATGTCAGCGGTTCCTAACATTTTCTCTTGGGCCAATCAGTTTCTTCAGAGACTGTCTTCAAAGCTCCCATGGAGATTGGGGGACGTAGTTGAAGTTTGGCCACCAGCGTTCTGGGAACCTGGCAGAGGAAGAAGCAGGTTGGATGGTTTTACCAATCCATAAACTGACCTTCTCTGTCCCCTCACTTCGCTTGGCTCACTCATCTGGTCTGCAGCTGTGCCTGGTGTCTGGAGTCCAGAGACTCTCTTGTCAAATCATTCTAAACATTAAACCTCAGAGTCAGGGAGGGCAGGTGCCTGGACACTGAGTTTGGATGGTGATCTCATTGCTCCTTATACAAACTTCAAACTGCCTCACACCCCTCTTTAAGCCAGTCTCACTGCCTCACTCTCACCCCCGCCATCCATTCACCCTAGGCCGCCAAGTGCTTATTAACTTTTCCCTCTAGTTTTTGAAGCTTTTCAGCACTCTGCTGTTGCAATCTTCTTATTTTATTGACTCTTACCTCATAGACAGTTAGATTCTGTGGTAACAGTTAACTAGCCAATTTCCAAGAACTTTTTCTTTTCCAAACCTGCATTCGAATGGCTAGTATCTGCCCACAGCCTGTACCCAGCTGATGCTGCTCCGCAGATGCCATCTTCTGAGAGAAGATCTAGACTTTTTCTGTGGAGGGTTTTCATTCTCAGAAATTCATTTCATTCTACCTCAATTAAAGTTTTAAGGTATTGATTTTTCTCATTTCTATGTGTCTATCCAGACTTGCAAGTGTCACATATTGTAATTCTTTTCAAAAGAAAGTTCATTTTCTATCTTTTTAATTTTAAAGACGCTGAGCACATAGTGGAAGTCATTAACTTTGACTGTGATTATTAGGACTATGACAATTAGTAAAGGCCTAGTTCTATAGCTATTTTTTTGTACATGATTTGAAGTCTTAATCTAAGATGTATATGTTTTATCATTGTTCCCACACCCTTCCCTGTCAGTTTTAAATTTAATATCAAATTGGGGAAAACTTTTTAATTGCTTATAAGGGGGATAGTTTTTTTTTCTGTGTGTGTGTGTGTATGTGTGTGCATGTGTGACTTTTCTGCTCTTATATACATTTGATTTTACAATAAATATTTTATCACTGGCTGAAATGTACCCATTGAATTATACCCCAAATTTGTATATGGAAACAAGTGTGACCTTTTCAGTTCATTGATTTCATTCAAATAATTTATTTTCATTATAGAGGTTTTACAGATGAGAAGTTTAAGTGCATTTATATAGATACAGGGAGAGTGTAAGAAGGATGAGCTATTTAGGGCAAGCAATATGTGTTTATCTATTGGCTATTTATTTATTTAGATGCAAGCTTTTTTTGTAATATATATAAAAGTGGAGGAATTTGATTTCTGAGATTATATGGTGAATAATCATCTTTTTATATTAAAAATAACATTAGTTATTGAAGAAGTAATATACCATTTGTTCGGAGAAATAAATTGTGGCAACTCTATCCCCCAAAATACAGCTGTGAACTTAGAAGAATGTAGGCCTCTGAGTAGTGTGAAGAAAATGGATGTAATAAAACCATGGACTTTACTCTGCGGTCAAAACTGTATAGCCTTCCTTGAACCTTTTCTGAAGCCTATAACTTTGTCTTAGATATAAAACTAAAGCAGCCAAATAGGAGCAGTGGTAATTGCTTTGTCAAGAGACTAATGACAGCGAAAGAGTAAGTAAGAGTGAGCCTGGCGTGCGGTGGCTCACACCTGTAATCCTAGGACTTTGGGAGGCCAAGGCAGGAGGATTGTTTGAGGCCAGGAGTTTGAGACCAGGCTGGGCAATATAGCAAGACCCCATCTCTACAAGAAAATTAAAAAATTAGCCAGAAATGATGGTACGTACATATCTGTAGTTTCAGCTACTGGGAAGGCTGAAGTGAGAGGATTGCTTGAAGCCAAGAAACATTAAAACCCAGTGGTCTAAGGTCATTTAGTAAAATAATAATCATACCTCCATTTCATGAAGTCTCCTCTTACTGCTGGGCATATCACTTGTATTCTCTCGTTTACCCTCACCTTTCAGTTATCTCTTCAGTGGAGAGAAAGCTGAGCCTGGCATCAAGGAGTGAGGTCCTTCCCACAAATGAATTTTTAGATACCTAGTGTTTGGGTTTCTAGGTGACAACTTTTTAAAAACCATTTTTATTGGAAAGTCTTTTTCTTTTTAATTTTTTTTATTTCAGCATATTATGGGGGTACAGATGTTTAGGTTATGTATGTTGCCCTTGCCCCCCCCCCAAGTCCGAGTTTCAAGTGTGTCCATCCCTCGGATGGTACGCATTGCACTCTTTGTGTATGCATATACCCGTCCCCGAAAGTCTTTAAATTTTATTAAACTAAAGCTGTTTTAAAATTTCTTAAACTAAGTGTAAGTAACAGTATTTTCTTGACTGACTAGGGTCTATTTCGAACACAACAATGTATCTGTGCCAATCTACCAAAGGATGATGTCTTCAAATTCTAGTAATATAGTATGGTGAAAAAAATTACAGGTTTTAGACTCTTACAAACTTGGTTTGAATCTCAACTCCATGCCTACCATCGGTGAGTCCCTGAACAAACCACTGAACTTCCTGACTCAGCTATTTTATTTATCACCTACCTCGTAGTCCCTAGTGCTTGCGTAATGCTCACTTAGTACACGATAGCTTGTCAGAATGTTATTGACTTAGATGTGGAATGCAGCTTTTGCTCGCATAAAATGTATTCTGCAGATATGGACTGAAATGTTAGATTTTTAAAAATGATTTAAGACTAGAGGTAACTGCCCTGAGTAAATAGTCTGGAAGTTCTTTATATTTCTTTTATTTTCATTTCAGGATCTCTTACTTTGGTTTCCTTTTACAGCTTTATTGAAGTTTAATTGACATATAATAAATTGCACATATTTAGAGTGTACAGTTTGATAAATTTTGAGATATTTTTACATCCATGAAACCATTGCCAGAATTACACTAGTGAACACAATCCATCACTGGGAAGTTTCCTTGTGTCTGTAAAGCCTCCTTTTTCTCCCTCCCTGCACAAATTAATCATGTGTACTGTATGATCCAGCTGTTCCAATTCTTGGTAGTTACACAGGAGAAGTGAATGCATATGTTAGCCTTAAGACTTGTACAAGAATGTTTGTAGAACCTTTATTCATAATAACCCCACACTGGAAATGACACAAATAGGCATCAACAAGTGAATGGATAAACAAATTGTGATATATCCATACAATGTAATACTACTCAGTAACAAAAAGGAATGCACTGTTATATTTAGGTTGAATTGAAAACTGCCATATTTGAAGCAGATTTACTTTCTTTGTTGTTTTTTTTGCATGATACTGATTTTCGTTCACTTAGCATATCCCTCTAAATATATGCTAGCCTAATATTAAGAAGTTAATTACAGATCAATCATAAGAGGCCATAAGTTATATTTGGATAATTAAAGATTGATTATTTCTCAGAGAACTTATCGTCAAAAACAGTACAGATTGTTTTGCTATAGGACATGTTTCTATAACACCAAATAGCTTATACACAATTGGTAAACTGGAAGTGATGTCCATGATGATTGTATGGGTTCGTATAAGATTTTTCATAGGCGTGGTGAGCTGGAATAATGGGAGTAGAATTAAAAAGGGAAGGAAAAGCCCTCAGATTGGCTGCTGCACAGACAGAAATTCTTTCAAGTCTGGTTTATGAACAATAAAGATTAGTTTCTGGAAAAACAATATAGTTCCTGGACCTAGCCTGCCTCCCCAGCCTTGCTCAGCTTCTGGAAAGTTGTGCTTCCCCCATGCCTACCTTAACAACGTCCTCAGTCAGTGGTCTAGAGTTCTGCTTCAATCTGCATGGTTAGTGCCTGCAAGGCTGCATTTTCACTTTATAGTTTTTGTTAATTTTTCATATTTCCTGAGTCAGTCCCTAAACATGCCCGAGTTGCTTGCCTGAACCAAGTTATCTCTTGAGGAACCAACTGTTACTTTTGCTAGACTCTGGTTACAAAGTTGCATAAATTTTGAGTAGTCTATCCCAAACCTATTTTTACTCCCTTTAGTTTATTTTTCATTTTGCAAAATGAGAAGTTTTTTTTTCAGGAACACATGACTTTCTAACCAAAAACACCCAAATGTTAAAGTAATTTATTTTAAACAATTTCCTGGAGATCTTTTATTAAAAATACATTTCTTAGTATTTTTAGCTAATACATCTTGCTTGCTATATGTCAGGTGTTCTCAGAGCTTACCAAAGATTAACTCATTTAATCCTCATAACAATGCTGTGTGGTGAGTATGGTATTATCCTTATTTTGCAGATAAGGGAATAGGAGTATCAGAGAGGATGAGTAATTTACCTAAGGTCTCACAGCACTGGTAGTCTGGTTCTATAGACTGTGCTCCTACTATGCTACATTGCCTTCTGCACAATGTTGCATATAATAAATTAGATTTGGTTACGCTTTTCTTGTAAAATTCGAATTAATGATTTTATAGCAAATTAAAACCTTGTGAGCATTAAATATACAACTGAAAAGAGTTGCCGTGAACTCACAAGGATAGCAAATTTAACAGATTCATCTGTTTAAAAGCTGGGAAAGTGATGGTAATTTATACCCTGCTATAATTGTTAAATAGGTTTTTAGAAGTGTTCATTTCATTTAGTTTAATTACTTATGCTTTTAAATTTCTTCTTAGGCATATCACACCTGAAAAATTTTACGTGGAAGCTTGTGATGATGGAGCAGATGATGTACTTACCATTGACCGTGTGTCCACAGAGGTTACCCTTGCAGGTATTTTATAGCCAGATTTAGAAGTGTCCGAGAGAGACTTTATATGTAAATTGCAATAATTAGAATAAATTACTCAGAGGTATGTTAATATGTGGATCTCTTGAGTGCCTCCTTATTAAAATTTTAATTCTTGCTACCTCATTTAATTTGTATGCATTAATTTTATGCCATCTCCTTTTTAAGAAAATGAGAAATGATATTGAAAATTTTAAGTAGCATTTTACTATCTGTAAGAGTTTAAAAACATAATTTTTTTTAATTTGTTCCCTTATCTGTATTCTAACAGGATTGGTTTAGATGTCTAAGCTCCTTTCTAGCTCTAAGATTTAAGGTATTTGAGTGTGAAAAAGTTGTTATATTTTGGTTTTGCTCCTTTGCAGTGTGAAAAACAATTTTTATTTCAGTTGTGCGGAACAGTGATTTCTGTATAGATTAATGCAAAATAATTTTGGTGACAAATTAATGTACCATGTGATATCATATTTAGAATTTCATGTTTCATTTGTTTAAAAATTTCCATTTACCTCCAGACAGAGTTTTATATTTGTTTTCTTCCTAAGGTATAATATTTGAATAACCATAGAGTAGGCAATGAGTAAATATCCTTTGAATGGATAAAGTGAAATAAGAAAATATTTTCAGTGGGATAAAGTGTAAGATAAGTATGGTTATAAAATTTCTGTTTCCTTGGTTATGTGGTTATTCTATTAAGTACCATAGATAGTTTTTCTTTGACCAAATGGAATTAGAGCTCTGTTTTAGTTTGATAATTTGGCATTTCCTATTTGTATGTTGCATGGCGGCTGCTCTCTAAAGATAGCTGATTAGTTTTATCCAATGTTAGTATAATTCCCCTTAAGTTTAATTAGACTACTTCTTTATACCATACTAATACAAGGTAGTGTCTTATAAGAGCTTTAGTATGGGTATATTTTTAATTCATTTTGACCTATCAGTGACATTTTATTTGTAGGTAGAGATTGCAGACCCATTTGAATAGACAGAAAAGCTAAAGGTCATGAATAGTTTGGATGTAAAGATGATGATACCAGGCAGATGATGAAATTTTGATCCAAAGTCAGTGATGAGGGGCTGACTTGCTGACAGTTTCCCAGCCAGTTTCTTTGTGTTATTAGGAATGCAGACTGTGGCCATGGGATGATGGATTTTTTTTCTTCCATGAAAAACTAACATGTATTCTAGAAATTACCACAGTTTTATTGCTATTACACTCCAGTTAATATAACTTACAGCTCTATCGATAGTACGTTTAAGTTTATGAGATAATCCCAGTATGCCCAGAATTTTCTCTGAGGTCTTTACTGCGCTGGTATTCCTATTTTTCATGTTAGTTAATTGTGGCATAGCATTGCTAAGTAAGTTGAATCATTAAGAGAAAGAGAAGTGAATTTTAGACCTTATTCAGAATTAATTATTTAGAATAAGAGAATTACTGTTATGACTGACTTTAAGAGCCAGGGCTTAAGTTTACAACAGTGTTTTTAAAATGGGTTTCAGGATGATAATAGGCTATAATTGAAAGAAAAGTTTTATAGCCACGTAAGTTTGGGAAACTTTGGATTAAACAGTGGAATGGCTTTCTTTTACTGTAGGCCTTCTCAGACCTTTGTTCTGTTAATGTGCATTGTGACTATTTCTCTAGGAGAGGGAATGGAGATAATTTGGGATGCAGCAAAATAAGCTTATTTGATTATGGGACTTCCTTCCCCCCACACACCTTTTGGGCATTATTTTCTAACAGAATGTGTTTTATGAAACACATTGGCATAACGTTTAAGAACCGTGAAATGAATCCTATAATCTAAGATACTATTTTATTAATAAGGGCATTATTGATAAAAATGAGAGTTAATGAGGATGCTTTCTTGCATACCTGTATATATTGCTGTTAGTCATGAGGAAGCTTTTCCTTTTTGCTTCCTTCCTTGGATCTTTGCCTCCATTTCCCACATTCTTACATATGGTTAAGCAAGTCTTTTTTTTTTTTTTTTT